ACTTCAGGTATTACATCTCCCCTTGGATAAAACTCCCTTGCAGGCAGGAATAAAACTTACAAAAAGGCTGTTACAGAGACCATCAGCTGTCTATTAGATCGCCTGGAATATGCTCCTCTAGCAGCACAGTTTAGTCTTCTCCAAATTACTGTAGAGGATTTGACTGTATCTTGCTGATCCATCCACATTTTAATTTCCTCTGCACGGATACATATTGCAGGATGCTGGAAATCCCCAAGCCCACTGGAGCTGCACGACTGGATGTTTCATCCTGTAACACCAATAAAACGTTAATGCATACTAATAGCGGCAGCAAAGGGGTTTATGGAGCGAGCTTGGGAGCATTTGATAATTGCTGGGGTATCCGTGACGTGGGGAATTTGGGGTTAGGGTCACCAAGTGCTGCCCTTTGTCAGCGCAGGGAGAGAAAAACCCTCTGATAGACCTTGAGGGAGTGAGGGGTGGGGGGGGGGGGCAAAGGCTGGAGCATGGCATGGAGGGTGCATGGGGCACAGGGTGGGCAAGGAGAGAGAGATGGGGCAGGATGAAACTGCCCAGGGAAGGGATGGGGTCACTGACCATGGAGGTGCTTAAGGAAAGGGCAGAGGTGGTGCTGAGGGATGCTGCACAGCGGTCAGCAGTGGAGGGTGGTTGGACTGGATGGTCTTCAAGGTCTTTTCCAGCCTTAATGATTCCGTGATTCCATTGGGGAGCTCAGGAACAGGGGGTGTGGGGAGGGAGCAGCAGCTGCCTCCACGCAGAGCTTTTCCATTCACATCAAAGTCCACTTCCATGCTGTAAAACCTGGTGAAACGGGCTAAAAAAGCAGCAGTACACAGGTACAAATGCTGCTGTGTGGGGAGGAGAAAGGAGAAGCCACTGCCTCATTGTGAGAGCACTGTAGAAATAAACAAAGAAATGAAACTGGGGGAAGATTCATGAACCAAAGTGGGGGTGTGTAGAGCATGCCCTGGGCTGTCCTCATAGGTGGGCTGTTTGCTTCCCTCCACCTGGGGACAATTAAGAGCAGGACTGATGGGGGCTAATTTCAGAGATGGCCCCTGGCAGGTGTGGGGCTGCTCCCTCAGCCCAATCATGGAGGCAGAGGGGAGATAAGAGCAGGGTTTGGGGCTTGGTTGCTTTCCCCTTTTCTCCTTTTGTGTCCTTCCAGGAGGGAGTGGGATGACCTGAGCAGTGCAGCCACTCACTGGGGAGCTGAGGTGAGCAGGGTGCGCTGGGCTCTGAACTCTGCTTTGGGGGGGGAACACCGGGTTTTGTTGTTTCTGTGTTTGAGAGGCAGTGACTGCTTGTCTCAGAGAGCCCTCGTGGGTTTTGCTGTGTATCTGTGCAGTGCCGTTGCAGCCCCTGAGATGTCAGTGCTTGGAGGTTCTGCTTCTGCTTTGCAGTGTTGGTGTTGGTGTGCTGGCAGTGGCTGCTCTGTTGCTGCTTTGCCTTTTGCTCCCTGTGCTGTTTTCTGTTGGATGGTGCCTTTGGTTACAACACAGCCCCTGTTAACTTCCTGAGGTGGGTTTCACTTGAGCAGCATCGCAACCATCAGCTCTGTGAGCAGGACCATAGGAAGGCCAAATGTGAGTAATTACCACTCCAACGCTAATTACCTGCATTGGGCCCAAACCCAACACACCAAACGCCGCTCACAGGAGCGCTGCCTGGATCTCACAGCTGAGTGTCCCTATAGCTCTGCTGCTGTTCTCTGTGCACAGCAGAGCTCAGACATCTGCTCACACATCCCCAAACGTGCTTCTATTTGTTCCTAACTGAGCTGGGGCAATGTGAGGGGGGCACATGGCTCGGGGCCATGGGTCCTGCGGGGGTGCACAGAGCTGATGTGTGTGCAGTGATGTCCCTGCATGCAGCTGCTGTCCTGGGCCTGGCAGTGGTTGGGCTGTGGGTTACAGCACTCAGCCCTAAAAATTCTAATCAGCCCCAAAACACCACTGCAGGGTTCTGCTGAGCTGTGGGACACTGTGGCTCTGAGTGAAGTGGGGAATGGATGGGATGTGAGGCCCGTTCCCTGGAGGCAGCATCTCTCTGGGTGGGAGGTGGCCCATTCCCCTCAAACTGAGGGACTCGGCACAAAAGCAGCCCCTGCTCCTGAGAATGGGATCCTCCTGCAGCTCTGCTCCAGCCCAGCTCCCTCCCAGAGCCTTAAACCACTTCTGTGTGTCACAGGGTATGAGGAGATGGGATGCCAAGGGGTTTGGGCTGTCACACTCAGCCATGGCTGTGTGACACCATAGGGCAGAACCAGTGTGCCTTGAGGCAGAGCTGGGGGGCGGTCAGGGTGGGCTGCCCCGGACTTTGGGTACCACACTGCACTCAGCATCGCTCCGGGCTGTGGATTATGGAGGGGTGGAACTGTTTGGAGCCTGGAGGCGCAGGGGATGCGGCTGTTGGGGTGCAGCCTTCCTGTCACCTCCCTGCCAGCCCGAGCGCTTCTGCCATCATGATTAATTTATCAGGTGCTTATGAATATGCAGATGAGGTACCGGTTTCCAGGCTCTGCTTTCAGGAGAGGCTGTGATGGGCTTTCTACTGCCTCTTCAGCAGAGAAATGTCATGTACCGGGGCTGGGAATAAATAAGTAACGGACAGCGCTGGGGTCGCGGCAGCTCCGCGGAGCTCAGGGCTCTGCTCCTTCCTCGGTGTCAGGGATTTTTACCCACGTCCCTATGGAGTGTCCCTCACCCGCTGGTTATCTGTCCTACGGGGATGGGTTTGTCCATTTCGGGCTTTGAAACTGTGATGGGAGCCCCAGAAAGTTTGCAGTGGGAATGGAGCTCTGTGGATGACAGGGCTCTGTGTCCCCGAGAACCCCAATGGCTGCATACGGGGAGTGGCGCGAAGTGAGGATCGTGTGCTCAGTGAGCACAGCCTTGGCCCCTCCGTCTGTGCGGGGGCTGGGGGAGGGGATGCGGTGCTCCGGGCTTTGCTGACCCATCGCCATCCGCGGGCAGAACTCCCCGACTCGCCGTTTGCGGCCGCGCTTCCCCCGTCGGGGCGATGCTGGGACTGACGGTGCGACTCGCTGATCCCGGGGGTCTTTTCCGACCGTTCTGATCGCACGGTGCCGTTCGGGAGCCCCCGGCCCCGCTCCGTCCGTTGCCGGCTCAAACGGACGGAGGTCCCTTCCCTGCCCCGCACTGAGGTCGGGGCTGCTGCCCCCCCCCGACCCGCACTCCCGGCACTGCGGGGCGCTCTGCGGGCACCAGGGGGCGCGGTGGGCGCGGAGCGACGGAGGGGGGGTCCGCTCCAGGCTCAGCTCCAGAGCCCCCGCCCCCTCCCCACCTCCGTAACCCCAATTTTGGCCGCCCCTTCTCTCCCCATCTCCTGGAGAGAGAAAGAGTGCGAGTTTGGAGGGTCTGCGGGTGTCCGTGTGTCGGTGCGGGGTAGGGGGTGGGAACTGCGAGCGTTTTGCACGGGATTTTTAGAGATCTTGACGGTAATTCGCGCATCCCGCGGTCAGCGCGGGGGTGGGACGGGAGAACCCGCGGCTTTCATTCATTTGGTTTGAAGAAGTGGGGATGGGGGGGGGGGGGGGGGGGAACTCCATCCCCCCCAAAACGGGGGCGGGGGGAACCCACCACCACCGCCACCCACACGCACCACCCAGCGGCACCGCGCGGGGATAACAAACTCCAACTCCAAAAAACTTCCCTGCGCATCGGGGAACGCGCAGAGGTGCGGGACGGGGGCGGCGGGGGCCCAAACCTGCGCGGGGCTCTGCGGGTCCGGGGGGGGCCTCGGGGAGGGGATAAAGGGGGATTTGGGGGTCGGAGGTGGGCGGAGAGGAATGCGGGGTGGTGAGGAAAATGAGGGCGCAGCAACTTTATAATCGACTTTTTATTAAGATTATAAATTTTAAACAAATCTGAACAGTTTTACCCGGTGATATACAATGCCATATGCACAGAAATACAGGTTACAAACAAAGGAAATAATAATAATAAAAAAGACGACAACAACAACCAAAAAAAAAAAGAGGAGGAAAGCAAACGAACAAAAACCCCGAACCGAACCCCAACACAACGTCCTCAGTTACACACAGTGCCGATCCCGTGAAGTTGGAGTGGGCAGAAACACACACGTGGGAGGGGGGGGAACCAGAAAACCCACCTTTTTACAACAAAAGGTCTTTCCGAAAAAAAATAAAAGAAACACTATTAGGAATCAAACGAACCTACAGGAGCCGAATCTCCTTGGGCACGCTGGGTTTGCGGTGCTGGAAGGCCGGCACCAGAAGAGTTGAACTTAAGAAGCAAAGGGGGGAGGAGGGCGGCCCCGCTTTTTGCTCCCCCCGCTCGTGTGACCCCATAACCCCGCAGCAGAGCCGGGGAGGGGTTGAAGTCACATCGCACGCGTTTCCAGGGTTTGGGGGGGGGGAACGACAAAGTTGAAATGTTTTCATTTCTACCTTTTTTTTTTTTTTTTTTAATATATCGCACAAAGCGGAGCTGCCGGGGGGTCCCGAATTGCCCCCCGCCGCCGCCCGGCTCTCACGTGGCCCCGCGGCCGCCCCGGGCGGACACAAAGAGGATTCAGCCTGGAGGTGCTCCGGGGGTGGCATTTTTCTGTTTGCTTTTTAATTATTATCTCCCCCCCCTCCCCTCCTTCCCCTCCCCCGTTCCTTCTCCTCCCCCC